CTATTCTTTCTATTTGCGACTACAAAATGAAAAATACGGCAACAAACAAATAAACCAAACAGCAAAAAAATGTGAACAATGAACTTGAATTATAAGCTAAAAACTTCATTCGTCGCAAGAGAAAGAAACCATTTTGGTCGGGATGAGCTCCATTTTGAATTAGGAGCTGCCATAGATGAATGTACAACAAACACCTCGAGGAATTTAGCGCAAATGGCCAAAATGGTGTACAGAAAACATAAAATTCATTTTGCTTCCTCGAGCGCTGTTGTGCTATCTAAAATTAACCTGAATACAAGRTGTCTTCGTCTGTCCTTGAAGCTAGTGAGAAAACAAGAAAGAAACGCGGTCATACAATGCTTATTTGAGTAAATAATTCAGTATATAGCAGTTTTGATGGCTATCATATGAAAAACTGAAGACCTGTACGTACCTTATTTGAATGCAAAAGATATAGAAATGAATAATTGCAAAATTTTGGTTTCTTATCTTAATTTATATAGAGCTTTACACAACTTACCTCATCTGATATCTGCCGCGCTGTGAGASCAAAACTTATCATGCGAACTYGAGGAATATGAGAACGTCAATCAAAACATTTTAAGCCAATTGGAAAGGCTGGAGATTTTTGAAAGCTACAGTCTGATTGGTTTGCTTRRATTAAGGCGGAGACACGTGAAATGCGATACATGTTGGAATGTGTATGCGAGAGAAAGAGTTGGATGAAAATATCAAAGAATTTTTTCACTTATGTGTTTTATTCTAGATAGCATGTTATTGMAAAGAGATCAAAAATTGRGATTTTGACAGAAAATGAGAATTTTGAACGTTTGCTGAGGAACAGAGCGACAAAACAAAATTAAWCTTTCAACAAAATCTAAGAATTCAACTGTAAAATTCTGAACAAAGCTAATTGACCTCTGAACCTTTACGTCACTACTTGACTTTCAATGCATTGTGGGTTTCAGTTCCTAGAGAAAACAGAAAGCCTTGGATGTTCTGTCCTAAACATATCCTACAATGCATTGCGTATACGGTACATAACGTAAAAGCTTCATAGGACTATTGCTTCATCAAGTCTACTACATCATAATAACCTATTTATATCAATTATACTTATTACAAAGGTTCCCGAAGCTCGAGCTAATACCCTAGAGAAGAAAGAGGTTACCTGGCAACAAGTGACATCACAAGCTTAGTAACCGCGGTCGCACGCGCAAAGAGTGGGCACGCGCAGCATTAGATCTCAAATTATACAAAAATACCATCATTTTGAAATTTACCTTTATTGGATATGATTAAAGATAGTCACATTAAGACGCCTTTGACTTCAGAATAAAAGAAAGAACGAGCTACGATTGATGTTTTGGTCATTAGACTTTGCGCATGCGCGAATGTTGGTTGTGACGTACGATTTTCTTCCGGTGACGTAACAATCATGTTTCAAAGCAGATTCTCACACTTGCCTAATCTTTTTGTGAGAGAAGGACACGAATTTTCGCTGAGCGATTTACTTCACTGATTTTACAAAGATGTCAACTTGTACAGCTACATTGATCGAAATGTTCAACAAAGACATGGAGCGCGCTGCACTCGAGGACAGTACAGAGTCTCCTTGGGGCGCAATTCAGAAA